CCCCCCCCTCTCTCCCTCCCCCCCCCCCACACACTCCTCCAAATAAGGTCTGGTGGGGCTGACAGCCCCCCCGGCCGGCGGAGTCTGCCAGTGCTGCTCCAAAACTTCCCAGCATAGGAAATCAGGGCAGAGGGGAGGACACAGACAGACAGACACACACTAACCTCGTCCCAGCTCGTTTGCCCAGCCCATGCAGCTATTTAAAGCAAGGTGCCCCAGGGGTCCAGGAGCTGACTCTGCTGGGCTAGCAGAGCCCAGGGGCAGGCCGGCCCACAGCCATTTCATAGCTCCAGAGAAAGTCACACCAGCTGACTCCCATGGCTGAGGTCCTCTTGCAGCCAGCAGAAGGGACCCAGGGAGATGGCTTAGAGCCCTGCCCATACAAACTGGGATTTAACCCCTGCCAGCATCCAGTTTCCAGGGGCAGCCACACAACGGGGGTGATCTAACACCCCCCGCCCTGTGCCAGTGCCACTGCGTCGCTCTCCCCGGGTCCTTCTCCGGCACGGCTCCTTCTAAAATTATCCCTCTCACCTCCCCGCCACCACGGGCTTAGCACAAACACCCTCTCAGCTGCTAGGGCTATTTTGGGATCAGATCCCCTTTCCCTGGAGCAGCTGGAGCACAGGGTTAAAGGAGAAGACCCACCAGCAAGAGGGGAAGCAAGGAGCACTCGGTTCCCCCAGGGGATCGGACACGCCTCGGAAGCTATTTCTCCTGCTGGCTTGTCAGGAAGCTCTATTTCCTAGTCACTGCAGGGCTCATCTGTCCAGTCACCAACAAAAACCCAGCCCAGCTTCAGGGCCTGCCTTAGTCATGCTGGCAGGTGGGTCCAATTACCTCCAGCCAGGCTATAAACTGGAGGCAGGGTGGGGTGGATTGGGCAGGGGGAGTCCTAGGTGGGCTGTTGTGAAAGTTTGTGCTGTGTTTGAGTTACTAGTGGTGAGACAACCCCAGAGAGGGGATGAGTTTGGAGTCTTAAGGGGACAAGTTTTCCCAAACTCTTACTATGTAATCTGACCACCAGGGTCCCCTTGAGAGCTGCTGGGCCCTGAGCTCTTTGGCAAAGCTGGCCCAAAGCTGGGGTTGATGTGCTCTGCTGAGGGTGGGGCTGGGACCTGTTCCAGAGCTGCATTCACCCCCAGCCAGGAAGTGGGCTTGCTGTTGTCAGCCAGCACCAACTCAAAAGAGCCCCCGGGGGGATGACTGTGTGGCAGAGATGGTGCCTGTCCACCGGGGATGCTCTACCGCTCCTCCTGGTGAGGATGGTGGACTATGCAGTATGACTACAGCTGTAGAATTCTGTGTTCTAACTTTGCTGGTAGCTTTCCACCTATGGAGACAAGCCCCAGGGACAAAACCTCTTCCCCTGAGGTGCTGGTTTGCCAACCAAAGCAGGGTTTAGTCTGGGTCCAGATCTGCTTCCCTTTCCCTGGAGCAGCTGCAGCTCCCTGAACGAACGGGGCTAAAGGAGAAGGGCCACCAGTAAGAAGTGAAGCAAGAAGTGGTTGGTTTTCCTGGGGGAGTGACACCCCTTGGAAGTTCTTTCACCAGGACTAACCTCTTCCCCTGAGGTGCTGGTTTGCCAACCAAAGCAGGGTTTAGTCTGGGTCCAGATCTGCTTCCCTTTCCCTGGAGCAGCTGCAGCTCCCTGAACGAACGGGGCTAAAGGAGAAGGGCCACCAGTAAGAAGTGAAGCAAGAAGTGGTTGGTTTTCCTGGGGGAGTGACACCCCTTGGAAGTTCTTTCACCAGGACTGGGGGGGGACGACAAGTAGTTGGTGTATAATTTAGGTTTGACCCTCCCCTGCCTCCCCTGTTGTGAGGACCCCTGCCATGCATTACAAGGGAGTTTTGTGCCTCCAGACCTCCTTCCCCTGTGAGATCAGGAGAGGCCTTGAGCAAGCATGGAGGTAAGACAGCTCCTTCTCTACAGCTGAAGAATGAAATTGACCTTTTAATGAACTAGATCTGCCACTGGGACACTATGTAACCTCATGAATTGTGGCCCAATTTTTATGAATGGGATTTGGATTAATTTGTTAAGAACTGCCTTTGAAGACTGTTGTTGTAATTTTTGTATATATGCATTGTAACTGAAACCCCATTTCAAACTTTGCACTGCCTTGACTGTTTAAAGTTAGGTGTGTCATCTCATTTAAAAGTGTGAACTGTGGGGGTGTGGGTGTAAAAGGATCAGTCCCTGAAGCCAGCCTGTCAGGGGGGACCAGCTGCCAGCACTACCTTGATGGCTGAAGAACAATGAGAGTGAGTCCTTGCAAAAGAACCCACCCAAGAAAGAGACAAAAGCCCCATCAAGAAAAGATCAAAGTCCCATCTGCCATTAACTGATGACTCCAGGTCATACAGCAACCTGGGGTAGTGGGCCAGGACAAGATCTATGGACTAACTAAAACATGTAAAAAGCAGCGTCCAAAAATATAGAATTGGGTCTTTTGGTTCTACAGTCATCCTCCCGGAGCAGCGGCACGTGCCGATACCACCCGGCTCACCTCCTCTTGTCTGGACCACCTGGCAGCATGAGCAACTGAGGCTAGTAATTCTGTCCCACCTGTAGAAATGTGTGGTGGATAATTTAGCAGCGAACTCTGCCTTCCCAATAAATGCAGCATATCGTCTTCTCTCCCAAATAAGATTCTACTAGTTCTATTTCGACAGGTGTAACACTTCCCTGTCTCGTTCCATGGGCCCAGATCAGCCCTAGTCACCTCATCATGTACCTTCAAGACTCGACAGGTGTAACACTTCCCTGTCTCGTTCCACGAGCCCAGATCAGCCCTAGTCACCTCATCCTGTACCTTCAAGATTGCATCCCAGGACCCCTGCTGGGTTGCCCTTCCCTCCCCTCCCCAGGTGGAGGTAAGCAGGGAGCTGCCTTACTGCTGGTCCCAGATGATGAGGTGGAAGAGGTACTTGTACACGTGAGCCTTTCTGGTCTGCAGGGGGCTGCAGAGCGTTTTGCCGCCATGGGTGAGAGAGCAGGAGAGGTAAAAGTCTTCGTAGCTGCAGCAGGAGAAAATAAAATGGAGTCGCTGGGGGGGTGTCTGTGTGGACAAATGAGGCACTGTAAGTGCCAGGGGAGAGCCTACCACACACTAACAGGGCCTGGGGAGTCTGCCACCACACATTAAAAGTTCCTTAGTGCATGCTCACCTGAACCTATTTCCATCTCCCTCTCTGCCAGTTCCTCACCATTTCCCTTCTGGCTTTCCCTTCTCCGCTCCCTGCCTCTCTCCTGTCCCACAGTGGCACACGCAGCAGGAGCAGTGTGCATGGGAAATGGTTTGGTTTATTCTAAATCCCACAGATGACAGGTAAACCCAAGCCTTTAAAACGTATCCGACTTCTTTCTAGGGGCCCGGTGGGACTGGACAAGGCATGGCCAGAGCTCAGGGGAAGATGCAGAGAGCTGCAGAAGTCTCTTTCTGGATTTGATTCCCCACTGCCTTGCACCTCATGGAGTCACTACTCTCTGGCTACGTCTACATTGGCACCCTTTTCTGGAAATGCTTAAAACGGAACAGTTTTCCGTTATAAGTATTTCCGGAAAAAGCTTGTCTACATTGGCAGGATGCTTTTCTGGAAAAACACTTTTTCCAGAAAAGTGTCCGTGCCAATGTAGATGCGCTTTTCCGCAAAAAAGCCCCGATCGTCATTTTCGCAATCGGGACTTTTTTGCTGAAAAGACTACTGGGCTGTCTACACTGGCCCTTTTCCGGAAAAACTGTTCCGGAAAAGGACTTTTGCACGAACGGGAGCAGCATAGTTTTTCCGGAAAAACAATGACGATTTTACATTAGATCGTCAGTGCTTTTCCGGAAAAGCAAGGGGCCAGTGTAGACAGCTGGCAAGTTATTCCGGAAAAGCGGCTGCCCGGTCAGACTTCTGCACCCACACTGGCGGGGAGTTTGATGCTTGCTTTGCATAGGGGGTAGGAGACGCCTCCAGCTATGAGGCAAGAGGAGAATTAGGCCTTGGATCCTTAGCCTGACTCTGGAGCCAAGTTCTCAGCTGGTGCAATGCTCATGGAAATCAGTGGCCCCAGAATTTGGCCTAGGGGTTCATGAAGCTGGGCTCCAAGCTGGGGGGTGGGAGGGGAACAGCTTCCCTTCCCAGATTTCTGGAGCTACCCCAGGGGGATCAGCACTTGAGTGGCCTCCCAGGAGAGATTCAAATGCCACCCATCTGACTGGCACAGTACCCACAGCCGGCAGTATGTGTTTCTACAGGTGGTACATATCTGCACATGCCTCGGTGCCCATAATCAAATTTATTCTGCACACGAATAGAATAAAATGAGAGGAACCATTGCTGCCCGGGGGCCTTCTGCTGCGGTCTGCAGCTGGAATCAACAGGCCTGGGCCCCTCCCTGGCAAGGAAAGGCAGCAGCAGTGGGCGGGGTGGGTTGACACTCAACAAACATTTCTCAGGGTCGGAGGGACGAGGTTCACGGCAATCTTATGGTAACCCAGACTGGTTCAGCTGCCCTGAGATTAGACACACACCGGCCCCCAGAGCGGGGAACTGACTCTGAGTGCAAACTCTGCATCTCCTCTCAGCCCATTCCCCTCCTCGGAATGTTTCAGCTCAAGCTGGGTGAGGAGGGAAGGGAAGGGGATTTTCTCCCCCTTTCTGCACTGCCTCTGCAGCTCCGCCCTGGGATCTTTCTCCTAGGCTGCTGTCCCCTTGGGAAAGAAGAGGGAGGCAGCAGAGAGAAGGCACAGCCCCTTCCAGACAGCCAGCTCGACATATGCCGCCGCATGCCATCACAGGGGGGTCGCCCAGAAGGACGCGGCCATGTGGCAGGTGCCGAGCGAGGATCCAGGGAGGGCCGCGGGGTGGCAAAGGTCAGAGGATGCCTGGATTTCCCAGGCTACTTCCTTTGTGCGGAGTCAATCACCAACTGGAATACATTAAAAACGGGACAAAGGCGAGGGGTGCCCGGAGGGG